TAGCATTTGAACAAACATTTCAAGAAGAACAAACAACACAATATCCAGTAAAATCTTCATTACAAAAATCTCGATCACTCAAAGAACGAAATGCATTTCAATTATTTAATCATAGACAACTTGTTATTGATTATCTTCAAGGTCAATTAGTACTTGCACAACGTGAAGAAAATAAACGTTCACAATTATGGCGTATGACAAGTAGTGGTTTATTAGTACATACAGGTTCATCATCACCACGAGATTGGAGCAATAAAAATGATACATCCGATGATATTCGACAAGCATATGTTTTAGATATTGAAGAAGATTCATCGAGTACACATTCTTCTACACGCTATACACGTTTAGTTATTCGACGATATGATTCTAAACGTACATTAACACAAACATGGAAATTTCTTGATGATGGATATTTATGTATGGGACAAACACAAATGTGTGTACAAGTATTTGGTGAATTAAAAGACAAAAGTGAAGTGGTACTTGGACCACGTCATTTTAATGGACATGGTGTACTACTTCCACCATCACCAACAATGCATATTCGACCACATCGACGTTTGAAAGGTTCAGGTCTTCTATCTGCACGAACATATGCTGATGGACCAACACGTATTCTTGAAATAGCTAACGTTACTACATCTAATTCAGCAGATAATCTCAAGTCAGAAACATTGACAACAACACCAACAACAACTAATCCTGTCACTGGTACTACTACTACTACTACTACTACTACAGAAGCAGTTAGTAATGTATTATCTATGATTTATCGTCTTGATCTTCGTCTTGAAGCTGGTATTGGTGTATCTATAATAAATTCAAAAGGACGTGAATCAGAAGAACTTGTTTTTATTATATTAAATGATATTCGTCTTGGATATAAAGATGAAAATAATGAACAATCAATTGATGGTACAATAGGTACAATAATTATATCAAATCAATTATTAATGACAGCAACACCATGTTTACTCTATGCTACATATGTCGAAGATACATCTATACAATCAGCTGTTCGTTTACAAGCAAGTTTACAAAAGCCAAGTGCAAATTATAAGTAAGTTTAATTAGATTTTAACAAATTTTATTATATCATATAAATTATTTTTCTCTATTTAGACAATTATATATTTTTCATTATCTATTAATTGGTATAAATTCTATAACAATTCAAATTGATGAAGTTCTTCTATGGAAACTAGTTGAATTTTTTAGTATCGATTTTTCATCATCAAATAATACAAAATCTAAAACACATGATGAAATATATGATTTAGATGAAGGTGAATATGATACTCAACGTTTATTATCATTATTAACATCAACACAAGCAACAAGAATTTATTTTAATGAATTATCTATATCATCTATTAATCTTGATTTTAGTGTTTATTGTGGACATTCACGTTCATTACCAACACATTTATTAACTATAAAACGTCGTGCACCATTTCCATTAGTACGTTTCGAAAATGCACAAATACATTTAAAATCTTATGAACAAATTCATATATTTAATACATATGATTTCTTTTTACTTGCACTTACAACACATTATGTTGATGAACTTAAACGACAAGCATTTAAAATTTTAGGTAGTGTTGATTTTCTTGGAAATCCACTTGGATTATTTAATGATGTAACAGATGGTGTTACAAGTTTTCTTGATCATGGAAATGTTGCAGGTTTAGTTAAAAATGTTGCACATGGTGTAGCTGATTCAACATCAAAATTTACTGGTACATTATCATATGGACTTGGTAAACTTGCTTTAGATGAAGAACATGATGATATGCGAGAAGCTATTGCAAATAATTATCGTGGTTCATCCATCGGTCATTTCATTGGTGGAACAGTAGGTTTAGCAGCTGGATTTATTGGTGGTTTAACATCAATTATAACACAACCATATAAAGGTGTAGTTGAAGATGGTGTTGGTGGTTTAGTAAAAGGTTTTGCTAAAGGTATTGTTGGAACAGTAAGTAAACCAGTAGTTGGAATACTTGATTTTGCTAATGGTATGGCATTAGCAGTAAAAGAAGGTTCACGTTCATCGAATACAATATTAAGAAATCGTATGCGAACAACACGATGCCCAACAAATATATTTGGACTTCTTCAACCATATTCACAACTTGATGCAAATGGTCAATCATTATTATATCAAATGAATAAAGGAGATTTAACTGAAAGATATATAACACGAATTATTCTTTCACAAACACCAGCCAATTCAGCTTCGAAAAGAAAATTAGAGAATACTCATAATGATGAATATGCACCTGATCGACGAGGTGCTTGTATACATGTATGTTGATTTTCATAATAAAAAAAATAAGGGAAAACAAAATTTTATTTTAGGCAATGATTACATCTCAACGTATTATTATTTATCGAACAGTTAATGATCAAGATGAACTTGATTATGAAATAACTGATATATTCTATTTTAGTTCAATTGCAAATGTTGTTACCATAGGTTAGTATTTTAATTTATCTATAGAGAAATGTAATTTCATTCTATTTTTTTTTTATAGAAGATGCATATCGCCGACCTTATGTACAATTTTTTCTTCATAATCAATCTCATCGTTCAAATAAAACGACGACGACAACAACAGCAGGTGGTACTCAATATCAACAATCTATTTTACGATGTGATTTACATGACCGTGCATTACGATTAACTCGTGATATTCAGCGAGCACGAGATATTTTCGAAGAAGAAAAATTGACATATATTCCACCCGATGATGAAGATGATGATGATGATAACGATATACCACCAGGGGAACAACAACTAGATGAAACAGTACAAATGACTTAATATAATTCAGTCATCAATGCTCTTCCATTGTACAAATAGATTTATTTAGCGTCACAACAAAATATGTCTAATGGCTTGAACACTATTATGATTCCGTCCATATCTCTTTTGTTTTTGTTGAAACACCTGTTTCTGTTGTGCACGATAAATATCTATTTTCATTTGATTTTTGTTGATGAAATTAAAATGGTGATGGTAATATATTGTTCTTGTTTTTTCATGTATGAAAAAAAAATATCTCATATTTAATTTTGATTCTGTTTTTTTCTAATATAAAGAAATAAATAATTTTAAAAAAAGATTATTTTAGTTTTAGAAAAGAAAATATGGATACAGCAGCATGTAAAAAACTTTTCGATTTATGCTCACAATCATTGAGTAGTACTGAGGTTAGTTAGTTATTTTTAGAGTTGATGTTACACTAATTTCATATTTTTATAGGATGAAAAGTTTTTTGAAGCTTGTCAATTGCTCTGTTCAGTTATTCCTACTATATCAGATGTATGATTATTAATTTGCCTAAAATCTTTGTTTATTTGCATATATCTATCTATTAGGATGTATTTGGATCATTACCAGATAATATCTTACTTGATAACCTTGGAAATCTATTAAAATGTCGTCTTCGTAAGTTTTTTTAAGAATAAGATTTTTTTAATTATTGTCTTTTGTATTTAATAAGGAAATGAACAACGAGCTATTGTGATTGATGTCTATGCTTGTTTAATTGAGAAGCATAAATCGGTTTCATTCCTTTGTAAACATAATAAAAATGTATATCTATTATTAGTGCTTTTATGTGCTGTTGAAGTACGTATGATGGTTGAAAATCCTCAAACAAATGAAGTAAATATATTCTTTTATTTTTCTCTATATATATTTAAATGTAACTGTTGTTGTTGTTTGTATGGTAGATTTTAGAAAAACAACAACATCTTGCTGCTTGTTATTTAATTATTGAATATACAATTGCAGCTATTTGTCAATCCGATGACTTGATGGATGATGATGTTTCATCGATTCTTTCGAAATTAATTGATATGTTTCATGGATGTGTGTTTTTAATTGATCAAATTGTAGATAATGTTGAAGATAAACAAGTTAGAATTATTCAAAATAAACTTTTATTTTATCTTATTGTTGTTATTTTTTTAATTACAGGCATTTGATACAGTTCTTCAAGCAACAGTTCGTATACTTGGAATTTGGCTCAGTCAAGAACCAGTTTCTTTACAAACGGCTGTACGACCTCGTTTGAATAAATGGATGCAATATGGGTAGAAAGAATAATTTTAATATTATTATTGATCGTATCGATTTAAATTTTAGATTAAATTCAACAAACTGTTGTGAAACATTTAAAAAGTTTCTTGAACCAGTTTTGAAAGACTATGAAGAAGATGATGATTCTTCATTGATACCTTCAACAACTTCATGATCATGATAACCATGGTGTTTATTTTTTTCTAAAAAGTTAATGTTTAAAAAGATCTGTAATATATTTTTTGTTGGAAAAGATTTCTAATAAAACATCGACAGACAAGATATTTTTGTTATAAAATACGGCTATTTTAAGCATAGTTTCATCTTCTTCATTTGAATAGAAAGAAACTTCAGATGACGCTAGTTGTCATTACTGAAATAACCATTATCTAATTTCTGATTTGTCACATTAAAGTATTCAATTATGAACGAATGAAAAGCAAAATGTATGACTGTTACTGAGTGTGCTATGTTGTTTGACTTTGACAAAAGGTCGAATAAAATAAAATCTCATATACTTTATCAAGAGTGACACTGCTAATCGTCAGTAACAACATTAGATTTATTTTACCATGACGGATGATATTTCTGATTTAACACCAATGCTCCCTTCTGATGTTGAAATTACCGTTAGTTTAATTAAATGTGTATTTATTTTTATTCTAATAATTAAATATATTTTTAGCCTCTCATTTCAAAAGCACCATTAGCATCAAATCCATGGAAAAATGCTATAACTATGATCGTTTTATTTCTTATTAATTTACTAAATTTTATGGATCGATTTGCTATAGCCGGTATTTTTATAATACATATACATAAATTAAAAAATTTTATTTTTATTTAATCTAGGTGTTCTTGAACAAATAAAAGTATATTTTGATATTGGTGATGCAGAAGCTGGTCTTCTTCAAACAGTATTTGTCTGTAGTTATATGGCTTTAGCACCTCTTTTTGGTTATCTAGGGTATATATATATATAGAAAAAACACAGATTAGAAAAAGAAAATTCATAACTTGTTTATTTTATTTTGTTATAGAGATCGATATAGTCGAAAATTAATGATTATTTTAGGTGTTACACTTTGGTCAATAACAACTGTAGCCGGATCATTTGTACCAAAAAATGTAAATCCTTTTTTTGTTAAAATAATTATTCATTAATAGACATTTCTATTGTATTATTAGTTATTTTGGTTATTTCTATTATTAAGAAGTTTAGTTGGTGTTGGTGAAGCCTCATATTCATGTGTTGCACCAACAATTATTGCGGATATGTTTAAAGATGATATGAGAACAACAATGTTAGCTCTTTTCAATATTGCAGTTCCATTAGGAGGGTAAGATGAAATATTTATTGAAAATATTTATCATGAATTTTGATATTAGTGGTCTTGGATATATTGTTGGTTCATATGTTTCAAAAGCATTTAATAATGATTGGCGATGGGCTTTACGTGTAAACTTATTTATTTTTAATTTGATGAATTTATATCTATATTTATATCGTAGGTCACACCTGTTCTTGGTGTTGTATGTGTTATTTTACTAATTGCACTTGTAAAAGAACCAGAACGAGGTAGTGCTGATGGTGCACGTATGCAGAAAAGATCTAGTTGGTTTTATGATGTTAAACAAGTTCTTAAAATGTTTGTTAGAAATTCTATTTATTGATAAAAGAAATTTTGTAAATAATTTTTATTCTTTTAGTAAAAGTTTTCTTCTAACTACACTTGGATTTACATGGGTAGCATTCGCGTTAGGATCACTTTCTTGGTGGGGACCTATTTTTCTTGAAAAAGCACATATATTAGCCAAGGGTCAAGATGATCCAAAAGATGCAGCCAAGTAAATCATTGAGTCATTTATTTTTTTGCTTTATAATGTAAGTTTTTTTTTCCATTCAATAGTGTAGCACTCTTTTTTGGTATAATTACATGTGTTGCTGGTATTGTTGGTGTTTTGCTTGGAAGTGAAATTGCTAGACGGTATATTTATTTAAATTATTAAATGCATAATAATAATTATCCATATATGTATAGTTATCGAAAAATAAATCAACGTGGTGATCCAATTGTCTGTGGTATTGCAGTTATTCTTGCAATGCCATTTTTATTTGGTGTACTTCTACTTTCCAAAGACCACTTAACTTTAACATGGATCTTCATTTTTATTGCAGAAACATTACTTTGTAGTAATTGGGCACTTATATCTGATATGCTTATGGTTGAGTTTAATTTATATTTATATACTTAATTTTTTATTTATTTTTTTGCTTTTTCTAGTACATTGTTATTCCAACAAGGCGTGCTACAGCTAGTTCCATTCAAATTTTTATCATGCATTTATTCGTATGATTTTAAAGATCACATTTTGTTTCTTATTAAGTTTTTGTAATAGGGTGATGCATCTAGTCCATATATTATCGGTCAAATCAGTGATTTCTTTAGAAAAGGAGCTGATGATAGATTAACACAATGGGTTTCATTACGTAACGCATTAATGTTAACACCTTTTGTAGCTACGATGGGTGCTGCTGCATTTCTCTTTGCGGCAATATTTATTCTTCAAGATCGTCGTCGTGCCCAAGAAACAATTGAATGTATGTATATTTTATATTAAATTTATATTATTATTATCAAAGAAAATGTCATTTTTCATAGCAATGAGAACATTGGATGATTACTCATTAGCCGAGAGAAAATAATATGAGAATGAAAAAATAAGTGCGTGTATATATGTTGCTAATAATTTATTTCTAATTGCTTAACAAACGATTGCCAATGCTCATTCATTGAAATGTCTATAGAGAATTCAATATGAAAAGATTTCTTTCATCTGAGAAAATCATAATTATATTTTATTTTTGTTAATCATTTTCAGGTTATCGTTATCATACAAATTGAATTACTAAAGTAACAGAGTTTTAAATTAGGTATGAATTACATTGAATTTTTCGAGAATATGCTCGTGTGGGAACTAGATTTCTTTTTTATTGCTCTAACTTTAATTCTTTTTTCTATTATACAATCTAAAATATTTTATTTTCTTATTTTTTAGCTAGTGTCGATGATTTACACAGTAATTTATAACATCTATTTTGTTTATTTTTTATATATGAGAATTCACTATGTTATCTGTAAGATTTTTTTTTGTAATTTGTTATTTTTTACAATCAAACATGATAATCAATCATTATTTTTGTTATGTTTTTGAACCTAAATTTAAAAGGAAAAAAGACGAAATATATTTATTTTTTCAGATCGTTGTAATGAGCTCATTAAGACGATCACCATTAACATCGATAGAGGTAATCATTAAAATAATATGAAATAGAAAGATAAAATTCTTAATATTTTAGAATATCGATACACCATTAAATGCAGAAGAAATTGAATTACGTGAAGTGGTAGGAAAAAGAATTATTTCTATTCATTATCTTCATATAAAATTCTTTTGTTTATTATTAGAATGAACCATTATTACCAACAAATGAAGAAACAGTACTACCTACAGAACAAAATAATGAAGAAATCGATGAAAGTATGAAATATTTTAATTTGATATTCGATATTATTATTGTTCATATATAGCAACACCGTTTCAAGTGAATATAAATGATGATAGTCAAGAATCTCAAGTTGAATTTTGTCCACGTACTCCAGAAAATGAATCAGAATTTCGACAACGTCATCGTCGTTCTTCTTCATCATTGAATCGACCAGCTGCAGATCAAAATCGTGATATACGACAGATAGCACGAAATTTTTGGGCCGAGTAAAGTTTTTCTCATTTGAAATTGTTCTCTAATAAATTTATTATATCTAGTTTATTACCATCGGATAATCGAAATGCATGGCGATTACCAATCTGTATCTTTGCTACTTTTCTGACAATTATAATTCTTGTCATACTATTCGTAGCATTTGGTTATGTAACTGTTGATTATGACGAAGTAATTATATTAATTATTTTTAATTTAATATTTATTTAATTTCTAGTTCGGTGTAACACATAGTCATTTTACTGGAAAGATGAATTTAAAAAATCCATATTCAGCTGGAGTTCACGTAATATTACCATGGGAAACAATGATTAAATTCGATAAAACAGCTCGATATCTTAATTTTAATGATTTAACTATTTTTACTACTGATCAAGCTAGTATTATTTTAGATGCTACAGTTGTTTATCGAATCAGGTAAATTTATCATTTATTGACAAGTTTTTATTATATATAAATATCGAGGCCCATAAGGTCATGACTGATTTGAACTGAATAGAAAAATAACTTTATTTACATTTTTCATTAACCCTCATATCATTTTAGACCTGATCAAATTGAACCAATTTGGTTAAATTTTGCTGATAAACATGAAAAAATTCTTCGTCTTGTTGCTGAAAATATTCTTCGTAATCATGGTAATCAATTTTCAATTTATGATTATCGTGCACGTCGAGAACATGTTGAATATCGTTTATCTCGTGTATTACAACAAACATTATCAGGTGATTGTTGTCCAACATGTTGTCAACATGCAACATGTTCAAAAACAATTGAATATTCATGTTCATTATTAACCCATTGCAATAACTCTGTGCAAGCATGTACAAATGGATATTTTGTTGATATTGATGCTGTTTATATATTTAAAGTTGCATTACCACAACAAATAATTAAACGTCTTTATACATTAATGCTTAAACCAATATATAGTGAAATAGCTGAAAGTCAAGAAAATGCAGCTGTAGTTCGAATAGAAACTGAACGACAACGTAATGAATTATTAAATAAAGCACGACAAATATTAATGAATTCATTAGCTGATAGTGAATTAATACGTGAAAAAGCTCGAATTATTTTAGAAACTAAATTACTTAAACAAATAAGTTCATCAGAACGACATTTATTTCAGCGATTAAAACTTTTAACTATGGACAAGAAATTATCAGCAGCATTTCTATATGAAATGAATCACTTGATGAATTTAACGCAAACAATTGATATTGATAATTTACTTGTAGAATACAATGATAAAATTAATACACAACAGACTAATGATCTATTTGACTTTGTTCCAGCATCAAATGTTTTTGATCTGACTGAATTTCTTTCTATTCTTGAAAATTAATTTTTTTGTTCTATTGTGATACATTTACATATGTAGAGTTTGGAATTTTAAATTTTTTTTTTTTTATTAATATTTTAGATGTCTAGAGCTGATAAATATGAGAAAATTGAACGTATTGGAGAAGGTAAATAAACAAAAAATATAATTGATTTTAATTGTAAAATATTTCTTTTTATACAGGTACTTATGGTACAGTATATAGAGCACGTAGTTTATTAACTCAAGAAATTGTAGCTTTAAAAAAAGTTCGACTTGATGATGAAGACGATGTAAGATTGATTCTTTTTCAAGTGAAATAAAATCTATTGATTTTTATTAGGGTGTACCGAGCTCAGCACTACGTGAAATTTGTCTTTTAAGAGAATTACGTCACCCAAATATTGTCAGGTAATCTAAATGTTCTTTTGTATTCATTCATTCACTTATATTTAATTCTAAATTGTAGATTATTAGATGTTATTCATACTGAAAAGACTTTAAATCTTATATTTGAATATTGTGATCAAGATTTAAAAAAATATTTTGATTCATGTAATGGAGATATCGATCCAACAACTGTACAATCATTTTTTTGGCAATTATTACAAGGTTTATCTTTTTGTCATGAACATAGTGTACTTCATCGAGATCTGAAACCACAAAATTTATTATTAACAAAGGTTTTTATTATTTTAATAAATTCATAGATTTAGTCTATGTGTTTTTTTTCTTGATTAGAATGGAGAATTAAAATTAGCTGATTTTGGTTTGGCAAGAGCTTATGGTATTCCTGTTAAATGTTATTCATCAGAAGTAGTTACTCTTTGGTATCGACCACCTGATGTTTTATTTGGTGCAAAAATTTATACGACATCCATTGATATTTGTAAGAAAATTATTTTTGATGATTTGAATAAGAAACTTTTGTTTTTTTGATAAAAGGGTCTGCTGGATGTATTTTTGCTGAATTAGCAAATGGTGGAAAACCCTTATTTCCTGGAGAAAGTGTTGATGATCAATTAAGAAGAATATTCAAGTAAATAAGATGATTAGTATTTATTTTATAAAAAAAATTCTATTTATTTTTTTAGAGTGATTGGAACACCAACTGAAGAGACATGGCCAGGTGTATCAACTCTTCCAGAATACAAACCATTTTCAATCTATCAACCTACATTATCCCTTATACATTTTGTTCCGAAATTAAACAATAAAGGAAAAGATCTTTTACTGGTAAATATTTATAAATAAATAATCACGATCAAACTTGATTGAGTACTTGTCTATGAGATTAAGAAAATAACCGGATATTTAATCAAATAATACTATTACTATTATCAATAACGAGTGTTAATAGGTTGCTCTGACATCATCTATATAAATTTTTACATTTCGTGATATTACAAGAAATTGTTAGATTTATTCTTTAACTTAATTATATAAAATTGCTAATATTTTTATTGTATTATTTAGCGTTGTCTAATCTGTAATCCAAATCAACGAATATCAGCAGCGGATGCTCTTCAACATCCATATTTTTCAGATTTTCAATCAGTCAATTAATGAAATTATTCGCGGTGCATTCATCTATATAATGAATGAATAATCTTTTCCTTTACATATACATCTCTGTTGTTTGTTGTAAACATTCATATATGACTTCTTCATGGTACTTTCTTTTTTCTGTTTTTGTCATTGTGCATTTGTATGCCTTTTATTCCTCTCAAAGAAAAAAAAACTAAATATATACGTATAGACAATTGATCAACTGAAATAAAAAAAATCAATTTTGATTTTTGAAAGATTTTATTCAAGATAATATGAGAATAAAAACAAAGAGAAAAAAACTGAGAGAATGAAGTTAATAATAAAGAAAAAAAAATGAAGAAATCGTCGACATAGAATTTTGGCTTCTAAGAAAATGAAAAGCAAATATGGTGGTACAATAAGCAAAAGAACATAATTAGTTAAATAGAATCTAACTACAGAGAATAAGACAAGCTGGAATGAAATATATATTATTTCTTGGTTGCGTTTTTTATAAAGACATGGTTGAAAAAAATGCATGTAATAAGGAGATAAAGAAAAAGAGAATAAGTTTTATATAATGAGTCAGATCATAATTAAATATCTCCTTCATTTTTAAATGTTATATACAGTAAATATAATGTATTTAAATATTGGATAATTTAACTTTAATTGGTAATGATTCTGTAACTTGATATGGTTGATCATCAGGTTGAATTTTTTCTTTTTCATAACCATCATAGTCATATGGTTGAAAAACAAGTTCTTGAGCACGGATTGATAATGTATTACGTGATGGTGTATGACGACAAAGTGACATAACCATATCTAGATAAATAAACAAACAAAAATTGTATAGATAAAAAGATAAAAATTTAACTTACACCAAAGAATAGCTGATGATGAAAGAAGAATACCAACTAAAATCCAGACTGGAATTCTTGGTTGTTTACGAATAAGATCATTCCATTCTGCACGAACATTATGAATAAATTGATGAAGACGGCCACGAACTGGTTGCATATGTTCACGTTGAAATTTATGATGATCACGTGGATGTTGAAAAACATGTCGGATTTCACCCATTAATGGACGTTTACCATTTGATTCTTCACTTGATTCACTTGATGAATCAGCACGAACATTACCTGGTAAAGGATTAATTGGAATACTCTTTACTAAATCTGAAATTGATTTTAATTCAGTTATTTTTGGTAAATCTTTTGAATTTTGTTCAAATGATTGACGAATTGTTTGTTCAAAATTATTTGCATTTTCTTGAAATTGTTTTATCATACTGTTGAACATTTGAACTGGATCACCATTGAAGAAACGTTGGACAGATGGCATATCCATTGGTGGACGACTGCGAAGACGTATAAGAATAATTGAACGAGGACGTCCAATTTCTGGATTTATAGGAATCATCACTGGACTTTTAATTTCCTATAATACAATTATAATTACTTATAAGCTAATTTATTAATCTTACTGGAACTGGATCAATAGCAATGACAGGTTTTTCTGGTTCAACTTTATCAGCGGCATCATTTAAAGTACAACCAACTTGACAACAATTTAAACTTTCTTCATCTTTTGTATGTAATTTACATTGATTTGCGCAATCAGCAGCTCTGAAAAGTTTTAAGTCACAACCTAAAATTAACAATTACGTTTTAATATGTAAATAAAATCAAATAAATAAAACCTTTTTTGCAAGCTTCTAAATGAACTGTATTAGTTTCATAATTTTTATGACAACCGTCATAACAGCCATTTTCGGCAAGTAATAATTTTTCTAATAAACCACTTGCTGGTGATACTGTCAATAAAATGGCCAAAACAAGAAGTTTCACCATTTTGAACGCGTTTCTTTTATTTAAACAATTGAATATCTAATCAAGAAAAACAAGAAAATGTAATAAATTTAGTCTTAAATAGAAGAAAAGAAAGCTGCTTCAATATATAACTACTACTGATGTAATGAGTAAGAAAAAAAAAACAAGAAAGAAATAAATAAAGCATACGACGAAATTGATAGACGCAGAACGTTTTTATCCTATAAAACAACTGCTTTTCTCGTTGGTTCGATGATTTTTCTTTTCTTTTTTTCTTTCTTTACCCCGCAGCCCTTTTTTTACCTTGCATTAAAAAAAATATAAAAAAGAAAAAAATGCACAGCAGCCCAGTTTTTATTAGTCAATGTTTGTTGCGATTTGCATCATTGCCTATAAGAGTACGAAGGATGTACAAACTACGAATAAGTTTTGATAGTCATGAAGAAAAATTAGAAAAGTACAAGTGATATAAAGCACACGTTATGTCAATAATATAAAAATAAATAACGAAGGAGGAATGAGAAAGATGAAAATGGAGAGTCTCAAACTACACCATCTGTTGAATTGATTGCTTGCGTGTATGAATGTATAGAAAAAAAATCTATGATATGTATCATTCATTCGAAGAATGAAAACAAAAAATGACTAAAATAATACTGAATTTATTACACATGATTCATTGATGTTAACGAAAATATTATGAATATTTTTATCGATAGATGTCCTCTTTCGATGAATAGTTTTGCACCGAAAGATTACATATCAATCATATACATAAGCTCATGAAAAATAGAGTCTATGCAAGGAGTGGCAAATATCAAATTGGTACCAATTTTCAAAATTCAATATTTTCAAATTTTTATGAGTTAGAAAGATGCCGAGAAGTTGAAACCAATTTGAGGTTGATCAAGTACCCTCAAACTCCAATATTTCAAAAATAGCAGCAATTAACAAAACGCCTGCCATGTTTATCTAAACTAACTAGAAAACCAGATATCAGATATTTACTTTCTGTAAAATTTTCAAATTTTGGCTGACATGGAATATCTCACAAGTGATAAAAAGCCCTGGAAGTGATATTTTGCCTATAAGTAGTACCTAATGAGATTAGTAAAAAATCAACAGAATTAAGACTTATATACTTTCTTTCGAAGTTATGATCATTTTACTGGATTTTTGGTCTATGGCAAGGTATTTACAAAAATATCTCATGGTAAAGCTTTGATCTGAAAATTTGTCCATATGTAGGTCTTATGATTTTTAGTATAGTCTAAGAGCTTTATCGAAAACGAATATTTTTTCTCGGAATATTTATTTTACAAAAAAATGGTTTAGACGAATATTCTATATTATTATATCTTTATACAGCATCCTTCGAGAACATTATCGTTTTCTATAGTTCAGTACGTAGCATATAATTAATATTCATCTTGTCATTTAGTTTAGGTCACTTGATCAAATTTCACCCATTGGTCGGATAATGATGTCAAAAGAAAAGGGTCGTTTCCGGTAAAAGTTGACCAAAGGTAATGGGGTCCGGGAACTCGAATCTGGAGTTAGTTTTTTAAAACTTTTTTAAGGGATACTCTTTTACACAAAAGACCGCTTTTTTACAAAAACATATTTCTTCTAACAGTTGACGGGAAGGAAAAGAGAGTCGAGGTACCCGACACTAGTGTCAGTTTTTAAAATTGCTTGAAAATATAGTTTTCTGGTAGCGAAGCCTCTCCAGACAAACTTTACTCGTCGTTTTATGAGATCATATAACAGTAAAATACATATCTATAGTCAGGTTCATAGTAATCAATTAAAATTGATTTTTTCCTTGAGTTTAGCTTAGGTGAATAGGTAGGTGGATATCTTATATTCATATATCTTAGTATAGAATGACCCATTTATAACTTATATTTTTATAGTGAGATTCATAATAATTAATTAAAATCGATTTTTTCCTTAAGTTCAAGTTATTTCAATAGATAAGTGAATATCCTGTTTTCACATATCTTGAGGGTGTGGGTGTTCACTTCATCAGCACCTATACCCACTAAATCAACTTTTACTTTTTTTTTCTTCTTCTTCACGTTCTATCACAACGTGATAGTCGCTGCCATTTATTGTTTGATTCGTTTTTATTTAGATAAACAATAAAT